GAAAGGCGGCATAAAAAAAATGAAAAAGATAAATAAATGATGAATTTTAAATGTAGGTCGTTTTTATATATGTTTTTTTTAATATGTGCATTTCTTATTTGTCATTTTTAAACGGATGTGTATTTTAACTGATATGTTTTAAGTGATGGGTACTTGTTCATTGTTGTTCCCCGCCTGGATCCATGGGGAGAAATAAATACTACTACTACTACTACTACTACTATTATTATTAACAACAACAGCATTTATTTATTTATTTATTATTAAAAGGAACTCTCCCTCTCCTTTGTCCCCTTGTCACAGCCTGTTTGCTGCTATTTATCTGAGCCCCTCACTCTTCCCAGTCCAGGGTGACTAGATGTCCTCACCACAAAGGAGGACAAGGCACCATACTATATGGGACATCTGAGAAGAATGGTAGGACATGAGATAAAAACACTCATGCAAATATAAATTCATGCTTCTTAGTCCTGCTTGAAAGGGAGGACTTTTTGGAATTTCTCCTGGACAGAAGGTTAGAGATGGAGGACATGTCCTGGAAAAGGAGGACGTGTCTGGTTTCCCTGTCTCAACCCTGCAGCCCTCTTTGCCAGAACCCAGGGGTCTTCCATCTCTGAAATCGGCTTCTCTCTTTCCAGTTTCTGGTGTCCTTTCCAAAGGTGCATCTGCACTGTAGAAAGTCATGCAATTTGATACCACCTTTAACTGTCATGGTGGCTCCATCCTCCAGAATTCCTGGGATTTGTAGTTTGGTGAGAGGTAGCAGTCCTCTTGGGCAGCTGAAGGCCTTGTAAAACTATACATCCCAGGGTCCCTACAGCAGTTAAAATAGTGTCAAATTGCACCCAGATTTTTGTTTGTGAGTGTATGGAAAAAGAAGGTGTGTGTTGGGGGAGACACCTGTCTTCTTCTTATATTTATTTATATCCTGTCCTTCTCCCAGGACTGGGATTCAGGACGGCTTACAACATTAAAAAAAACACCATACAGTTAAAAACATACAAAAATAGTACATTAAAATAGGATTAACTTACTACAATAATTAAAACAAATTCAATGCTAAAATATCAAATACGTTAAAAAGATAAAAATGCTTAGGGGCAGCCATGGAAAAGTCTCTCTTTCATATCTGTTCTCAAGCTGGGCTTTCTCTCTCATCCCCTGCTCCAGTTTTTCCTTCCTTCTTTCCTCGACTGTCTGGTCAGCTGGAAGAGAAAGCCAAAAAGAGAGCATGTGGCCGTCATTTCCATCACCACATCCTGGGAAAGCTGATCTGATGCGTGTAAGCATGTGTTAATCCACTAGCACATAGTCTCTCTGTCTAAGGGAGGAAAAAGAGACCCACTGGTCCTATCTTCCCAGGGTGACCGGATCTCCTAACCGGCAAAGGAGGACAAAGCACTGCAAAATGTAAGACATTCGAGGAAAATGTAGGACATGACCAAATAAAAGCTGGAAACACTCATATAAATGTAAATGCTTAGTGATGCTCAGAATGGAGGACATTTTCAAATTCCTCCTGGACAGAAGGTTGACATGTAGGACATGTCCTGGAAAAGGTTGTCTGGTCATGCTGTATCTGCCTAGTAGACCCATTATATTTGGGGGCAGGTGTGTTCCTTGAGGTGTATGGATCCAGAATACTCCCCACACTAATAACAAAGAAAACAGCAACAACCCTGCATCTGTTTTGTAGCAGTTCTGTGCAAAGGGATGTCCTAACATCTATTAAATATTGAACATGCTGGGTTTGGGACTTGTTTGTGCACCTGGTTCCCTTCAATGCAATATACCAGGGTCAAGGCTTTCTGGATCTGGTGAGCCATCATGCTTGACAGAGACCACAGTGCAGTCTGCATCCTTGGTTTTTCACAGGAAATCATCACTCTGCCATAGAGAATAGTGCATATAAATCAGGGATGGGACATGTGCGGCTGTGGCTGTTAGACTGCAGCTCCTATCATCCCTCACCCATTGGCCATGCTGGCTGTGGCTGATAGAAACCTTAGTCCAACACTACATGGAAGGCAGTGGCTTGTTCCCCACCTCTGATAGAAAGAAACTGCCCAATATCAACTAGTAGTAAGTTATGAGAATGTGGAACTGGGAAACTGGGGAGCCATTTAGGTAGATTCAACATTGTTGCCTCTATTTGAGTGTGATCTGCACAGGATTCACATCAGGGCCTTCATATGATGGCTGAGGTGGTGCTGATTTTGGATTGTCTTGTTCTAAGATACACTGTATTGTCTGAAGCCTTTCCTAGATATCTCGGGACAGTAACAATGAAAGGTGCAGCCATATTCTTAAAGCAGTGGCTTGAAAAAACAATATGTGGTTTGTGTGCATATATAGCTTCGAGTCTTGTGTGAGTATGTACCTGAGTTATGACAATCCCATGAATTTCATGGCATTTTCTTAGGCAAGGAATACTCAGAGGTGGTCTTGTAAGTTCCTGCCTCTAAAATATAGCCTACAGCATTTAGTATTCGTTGGCAGTATCCTATCCAAGTACTAACCAGAGCTGACCCTGCTTAGCTTCAGGGGAGCTGGTGCCTTTAGGGTATTTAGGTTGTGTTGTTGTGTGCCTTCAAGTCATTTTTTACTTATGGCGACCCAAAAGTGAAAGCGTCATGGGGTTTTCTTGGCAAGAGGTGCTCAGAGGAGGTTTGCCATTGCCTTTCTTTGAGGCTGAGAGTGTGTGACTTGCCAAAGGTCATCCAGTGGGTTTCATGGCTCTGTGCTGGGAGTCGAACCCTGATCTTCAGCATCGTAGTCCAACACTCAAATCACTATAGTACTCTGTGTGCTTATTCAGGGTAAAATTGTGGCTTCCGTGTCAGCAGGACAGTGAATTTGCTCAAGGTTTTAGTGCATACTTTAAAGAAGCTGCCTATGTTGATAAAAGCCTATCCCCAAAATAGGTTCACCATCTTGGTTAGCTCCTTAAAGGTTCAGAGTAAATTCACCGCCTCATTGATATGGGAGCCATCTGCTGCCATGACTGCCTAGATCCCTCCCCTGCTGCCTGTAGGTATGTGAGAGATTTGGGTGACTGCTTGATCAGAGATGGAGAAGCTGATTCATATTGTAGATTAAGATCTGCCCTCATAATTTATTGAACTTTTTATGTTGCTTTGCTATTTTTAGCGCTTGTGGATTAAAAGCACATTCTAATTTGCTGCTTGTATCCTGCTTACTGTAAGTGCATGGGGGTTGCATAAAAGGAGGACATGGTTTGTCAAATCCAGTAGGAATGGGGATGAGCTGCAGTTGGATAAATTCATCTATCATTGCCACAAGGGTTGAAAAAATGTCGTGAGCCATTCCACTTCTGGATTGTACATTTTGCTGTCTGTGATGCAGAAATAGTAACCCTTCCTCTGCAAGACAAAGAATCTAGTACCCAAAAGCCAGCAAGTTACTTTGATGCTTGAAGCAGTAAATCCCACTAGTGCTTCTCCCCACTACCTGACAATAAAAATACAAGAATAAATTGAATAACTAGTAGTTGCAGCCCTTTTTTTAAACGACATCCCAGCTCTGCTCTCTGGATTAGTCTCATGCTGCCTAAGAGTAGGGCCAGCCTTGTCAAGATACCTCAATCTGTCACACACAGGATCCATGTGGGAAGTTAAGGAAACTTATGAAAGACACTACTAAATTAACCTTGGAAGGCGAAGTGTGTTGTGTGTAACTGGGTAGCAGTGGGTATGGGTGTTTGCAGACAGCTGACATAGATCTGCATTGTAGTACCCATGGGGAAGTCATTTTGGGTTGTGATTCCCAGAACTATCCAGTCAACATACTTTTCCAGGCTCTTGTTAAACTGATGACCTTGCTTGGGCTGTGACATTATGTGGTTATATAGAACAAAAAGTGGTATCTGTGAACACATGTGTGAGACTACCTTATTTTCCTGCGTATAAGACTACTTTTTAACCTGCAAAATCTGTGGTTAAAGTGGGGGGGTCGTCTTATACGCCGGGTATAAGGATAAGGAGGATAGAGGTGCTAAAACTCTATATTTTGACTGGAAAAATGGGGGGTCGTCTTATACACTGGGTCATCTTATACGCCGGAAAATACGGCATTTACTTTTGGGTTGCTTTTCTTGGACAAATAACCTACGTATGTGTGTTTATGCAGACTACAGACCCATAGGATTCAGTGGAGATTTCCCCAAGTAAATAAATTTAGGATTGCATCCTCAATCGGAAGAAACTCCTTGCCTCCATTTCTGACCTGTGGCATGGCTTCTCATTCTTACGCTGTTCATAAAGACACAGTGGGCCCCTACTGGGATTTAGTTTCAGGACCTCCATGAATACCAAAATCCATGGATACTCAAGTCCCATTAAATGCAATGTTATAGTAAAATGGTTTCCCTTATATAGGATGGAAAAGCAAGGTTTGTTTTTAGGAATTTCTATATTCTTTTAATATTTTCAAGCCATGAATAGTTGAATCCATGGGTTAAAAATCCCTGGATACAGAGGGCTGACTGTACATTTATCCATTATCCATTGATTCAAGCATCCAGTTTGAAAATATCTTTAAAACAGATACATTCCACAAAGCAAACCTTGATTTTGCCATTTTATACAAGGGGCACTGTCTTACTGTGCCATTGTATTTAATGGGAATTGAGTGTCCTTGGAGTTTGGTATCCATGGCGGGTTCTGGAACCAAGCCCCAGCAGATACCAAGGGTCCGTTCTACCTGCGTTGAAAGAAAGAGAGATGGGTTGCTGCCACACTGCAGAAATTAACCAGTTTCACACCACTTTAACATTCACGGCACAATGCTATGGAATCCTGGGATTTTGTAGTTTGGTGGGGGACCAGAGCTCTCTGACAGTGAAAGCTAAATAGCTCACAAAACTACAAATCCCAGAACTCCATAGTATTGTGTCATGACAGTTGAAATGGGGTGAAACTGCATTATTTCTATAGTATATGCACCCAAAGAAAGAATATCCTTATCATCCTGCCTAGAGAGGCAGTATGGTGTAATGGTTTGAGTGCTGGACTGTAACTCTGGAGGCCAGGGTTCGATTCCCTGCTCGGCTACAGAACCCACTGGGCGACCTTGGGCAAGTCACACTCTCTCAGCCTCTTAGAATGGCAATGGCAAACCTTCTGTGAACAAATCTTGCCAAGAAAACCCCATGATAGGCTCACTCAGAGTCGAAAAGGACTTGAAGGCACAAAACATCATCATCAACAACAACGTGATTTTGAAAGGTGATGGAGGCAATGAGCAATTCTCATTAAGTGTTCTGTTAGTATGTAAATGGGGGTGGTGTCTGCTCTCCCTTCCCTTCTCTGTTGTGTTGCTGAGGCCTGGCTTTTCTTTGTGGGCCAGAGAGATGGCCTCTTGGTTGCTATGGCAACCTCTCCTAGTGATGTGCTCTGGCAGCAGCCCCTTGCATTGCAAAGCCTGGGGGCTGGGAAGGGGAAGCCATTTGGGGGCTAGATCAGAGCCTGGCTGTCGCTAAATACCCACACCTTTGGCAGGATTTTGGGACCTGACCAGAACACCTCCTTTTTAAAGTGGTGCTCTCTCTGTTTGAGGAGATGAGGCTATTCCATGGCTAGAGAAGGGGATGTTGTTATCAGGTTTAAGGGAATTTCTGAGGTTTCACAAAAGCTGAATAGTTGTCACATCATTGCCCTGCCATAGATCGGGGGGGGGGGGGGGGGGGGAGAAGCCCCTTTGTTCCCTCAAATATTTTGAACCAAAACTCACATAATTTTTATTTATAACATCCTTTCCATCCAAGGGCAGAACATCAAAAATATAAAGTCAGAGAGAACACTGCTTATTAAAAATGAGGTGCTCTGGTCACGTCTAACAACAACAACAACATTTATTTAGAACGCCTTTTCCTTTCAAAGGGCGGAACATCAAACATATAAAAACAGAGAGAACACCACTTATTAAATGTTTAAAAATGAGGTGCTCTGGTCAGGTCTAACAACAACAACAACAACAGCACTCTTTCCACCAAAGGATGGAACATCAAACATACACAATCAAAAATGGGCAATAATACTGTATGGCAGTGAAGGCAAACCTTTTAGAGACTGAATGCCCAAACTGCAACCCAAACCCACTTGTTTATCGCAAAGCGCCATGTCCCTCTGGCTTTCTAGTAATAAACTCTGGAGAATTCTGTGCTGGGATGATGGCACACATGCCCACAGAGAGGGCTCTGAGTGCCCCCTCTGGCACACGTGCCATAGGTTCGCAACCATTGCTATATGGCAATACTGTATATGACATGTCCCATTCAGGGGTGTAGGACATGTGGGAGTTGAGGTCCAAAACATCTGGGGAGGCCCAAATGCTCTTCAGCATTGGTCTAAACACATTGTGAGGTTCTCCGTTAGGAAAGCTGTACTGGTTGTAAGGAAGATATCCAGGCTGTTGGATTTTTTTTTCACGGGGCATCTATCAACCAGGTTGAGAATCAACACAGGTTCCAGGGAAGGGTGAATGTGGGGTGTATTTCCCTCCAGAAGTGTTTGTGTTACTTCTTTGCCAAAACAAATGGCACAAGGAGATGCATACTTGCATAAAGTTTTTACATGATGGTTGCCAGGTCAGGACCATCTCTGGCCAAAGCTTGAGACCAAGGGAAGATAGAGATGTGTCCTGGAGATGTCATTAAGCCTGATGCCTTCAGCATCAACCATAGTTATGTAGAGTATACCATTCAAATCAGAAACACCAAGTTTAACAAGTGTGGAAAATATAGTTGCACACACTTTCTGGGGCAGCACTCTTATCCTGAGATTCCTCTCTCTCTCCTGAGGACAGAAGAGGCTTCAAGCCCTGAGGTCTGGGACCTCAGTGGTAGTTTATGTATATGTACACATGTGTACACATTTAAAAGTTGTTACTTGTATGTGTATGTGTTGCATGCCTTCAAGTCTTTTCTGATTTTTGGTGACCCTATCATGGGTTTTCTTAGCAAGATTTGTTCAGAGGAGATTTGCCATTGCCGTCCCCTGGGGCTGAGAGAGTGTGATTTGCCTAGGGTCACCTAGTGGGTTTTATGGCCAAGTGAATCGAACCCTGTTCTCCAGAGTTGTAGTCCAACACTCATACTATACCATACCATACAATTAATGCAGTGGGGAGGCCTTTGAACTGGGTGGCTTGCATGGTGTTCAGATACTAAGCGGAAGTGGGCGCTTCAAAAGTCTCTTCTTGCTCTCCTTTCTTAGGGTTCCTTGTTTCTAAACTGAGCTTCAAATAATGGAACTAGTAGGGGGAACATTTGGCCTTCTAGCTGGGGCTACAACTTCCACATTTCCTTACCATTTGCCACTATGAATACATGTGGGAAAGGGGGG